GACCCAGTCGGGGTTACGCAGCTTGTGACGGTCTGTCGTATCTACGACGGTCCGTCCTACAGGTCCGTCACAACATTCAGAGAGTTAATTTCGATAGTGAGGTTACGCAACTTGTGACGATCCGTCGTATCTGCGACGTCCGTCCTGCAGTTCCGTCGTGAAGTTCAGAGAGTCGATCCCAGTATCCAGATTTCAGAGTTGAAGTGTTTTGGAACGAAGGTGCTCGACGGACCGTCGTGCCTGTGACGGTTCGTCCTACCTACCGTCGAGGGTAATGAGGAGAGCAGCAAAAGAAATTCCACAAGTATGGGACGATGGAGTCCATCACGGTCCGTCGTGACCATGACGGTCCGTCGCGTGATCCGTCGACCCAGTCAGTTTTTATCACAACTGATTCTAATGCTCGAATGACTAAACAGGTTGTTACAGTATAACATAATACAAAAGTATCATTGAATTTCATATCTTTTGTTTCAAAGTTAAATTAGACACCAAGTCTAATCATAAGCAAATAACCCCACATTTCAAATGTGATCTCAAAAATATTTTTCAAGTATTTGCAAATAGTTTTTTCACATATTTTAAAGTTGGAAACATTATTCTACGAAAGAATTATAGTGCTGCAATTCTTTTTGACAATGTTTACACAATGTCAATGTTCATTCCATAGAGACACAAATCACAAATTCTAAGTCACTGGTATTTTTTCTCTATCATAAATAGACATGCCACTTTGTATTTTAAATATTAACAATAAGAACAAAACAAAATTGTACAATTTATTTCTATGTTACATTGAAGATTATAGAAAATCAAAAGTACAACACTGACTTATTATGTGAAGTTTTCATATTCTTCAAGCTGATTACAGAGTCCAATTTATCCAGAGTATAAAACCACAAAAGTTTTTAGTTTACAAAAATCAGACACACTAACATTACTCATGGAGTACAAAACTACAAAATCTTTTTTTTTCCAAACAGAATAACACATATTCTTTATCACATAAAAATGTTTTTCTTATCAAATAGTCTTCCAACTATAACAATTTGACATATTATTTTATCAAACAAAAATATGCATCTCTCATTTTTGCAAACTAAAGAATTTTAAAAGCAACAATATCTGCGAAGTAAAATTCATTCCACAACATATGGTTTGCAAATCTTTTTCCAAAGATACACATAATAAAAAAATAAAAAATCAAAGATGATTACTCTTAGAACCTATTTTCCTCCTTAGATAATTTAATAAGAAGGTTACCTAGCAATCTTTAAACGGAATACCATAAAAAAAATTTGTTACATTCTCACTTCGACTTTGCTAAAACAAAGCAACGAATTATGGAGAAGTAATGCATTTATCTTCTACTTCCATGATCAGATTCTCTCAATCAGTAGAATACAAAAAAATAAAAACAGTATAATAATTTCCTTAAGATTGTTGTTCATCTTGTATTCCAAACATACTTGGAACAAAACATTAAACATCTTTGTAAGAAAACAAAGTTTAAGAACATTTTCACAACTAGAAAATTAAAAGTAGTAGCAAACTAGAAACATAACCAGATTTTTTAAAAAAAATATACGAAATATTTTTCTTGAAGAAGAATTATTGTTAATATGTGTCTAAAGAATCTTACTGATTCCAACAAACTTTGCAGAAACACGAAGTTACCAAGCTTAATGACCAGTGAAGAACAAAAAAATAGAAGAATTGAAATCAATTCACAAATCTAAAGTTTGTAAAACACGTACCAAAATCTAAAAAAATTTTAATAGGAAAAAGATCAAGTCCATTGAATTCACAGTGTCCCCTTAAGGAAATTGTTCCCCTCCAGTATCCGAGGTTTGATTTGGAATATGACCTTCCAGGGTAAAATGATCTCAATCACCAGAGTATAGATACAAAAAACTCTGGTGTCAGCGAACCACTCAACGGCAGTAAAGTACACTTAGAATACTAGATTTAGTAGTTGAAGAAGAAGTCCATAAATTCTATTTAAAATGAGAGGAAATCCCTTAATTTATAGAAAACAAAGGATAGTGCGAAAAGGTTCTTATTGTGCCTTACCGGAAAGGTCACAAACCTTTGGAAAAGTCATAATCTTTCAGAAAGGTCGTCACCTTTCATAAAAGTCACAACTTTACATAAAAGTCGCAACTTTTCATAAAAGTCATAACTTTTCATAAAAGTCGCAACATTTCATAAAAGTCACAACTCTTCATAAAAATCGCAACTCTTCATTTTCCATTTACACCTTTTTAAAATCCAACAACATTCATTTACCCTAAAAGGAAAATGATTTTTATTCCTATGGGATATAGGCTTCTATGGTTCACAAGAAGGAAAATGATACTGCATATGGTATTAGATGATAAGGATAGAACTTTGTTTATTGGTGGACATTAGATTGACTAATTGCTTTTATTCTTCTCTCATTTCTAATAGATAATGAACTTCAACTTTTTTTGTTCAAAAGTACTTTCTTTATTGGTACTAAATTATTTGCAAAATAAAATTCTTGTTTCACAAAATTATCTGTAGTTATACATCCTTTTTTTCATTTATTTATACTCGATATATTGTAATGCTTACGAGCTTGAACCTATGTAAACAAAGATGACGAATGAGACGTGACACTCAATTTATTATCAATATGAAAGGATTTTTTTTTTTGGGAACCGCTAAATATAGTGGATATTTTTATTATAGGTAATAAGAAACAAGAAGGGAGTAAGAAAAACTTTTCATTCGTAATGAAACAAAATATATTAGTACTTCATTTTTTTCTAAAGCCTTAGTGCAAACATAATAACTTCTGTTCATGATCAAGAATCAATATGAATTGATGTTGGTATGTCGATGATTTTAAATCGTAGGTATATTGCTAAGATTTTGTTGAATTTATCATGAATTAGGTCAGAATAGTTATTTTGAATCCTAATAAAAATGAATTTTCTGTAGGCCTCGTATTTAGGCATAACTTATATTAAACTCAATAATTTCACCCCCTTCTTTATTGCTAGATCTTATTTTTCAATATTGCTACTTTTTCGTGTTATTTCATAGGTACCTTTTAAATATGGTCTATATTTCTAGCTCTTATTCATAATTTTTGAACAAATTATGAATGTAAAAGTTTTTTTTTAGGATGGTTCTTCCTTCTAATAATTGTCATAACTATGATCCTTGTCTCCAATCACTACAAAAAAACACTTAAAATCTGAGGGTTAAAATTACATATTCCGGAGGTCAGTAACCCCCGCAACTTAGTTTTATGGCAGTTGCAGAAATTCCTACAATTAGGTGTGCCACAATTATGTCGCAGGGGTTTTTTCCAACCCCTGGTACCAGTAGCGGGGGTTTGCTAACGGGGGTTTTGAACCCACAAATTGATAACTACACAAATTCTAGGATATAGAACCCCAACAATTTATATACTCTGGGAGCCAAAAACCCCACGATTCATAAATTATACATTAAAACTAACAAGAGTTAAATCCTGCTATTTATGAAATGTATCTTTTTCTAAAATTTTTCTGGAAATTAAATATTCAAATTTAAATAATAATAACTAATTAATTAACATAGACAAATCTAAAAGGGCATATTAGTATATGAAATAACACAATAGTTCACCACAAAAGCATGTCATGAAGTGTACTATTACTTCTACAAACTTAATTGGAACATGTTATTCACTTTAACCATATTATTACAAGAAACTTTCAATCACTACAAAAACTTGCTTGAACTTCAAATCACTACAAAAAATTGCTTAAACTTTAGATCACTAGCATCCAAACTCAAGAAAGGATCTACAATTGTACATGTTCATGAAACTTCAGCGGGGTTCACTACGATTACTATCACTAACATCACCTGGCTGCAAAGGAAAATACACATGTAAGTGACTTCATCCAAACTCAAGACTTTTACTCCGATAAAATATGAAATAATGCAAGCTAACACTAAGCATGTGAACAACAATACTAAATTTCACTACTATGAAAGTAAATACCAATGCCACTCATCAACAAATAGGTCAATACTAACATGTAAAAATATGTTCTGGACCATGAGTACTGCTTGCCCATAAAACTTTGCCAAAAATAAAGAAGCTAGTCTCAGTAGATATATCACTAGAAAATACAGTGGATCCAGAAGATGGCTGCAACTAAACGAACATATCTGATATATAAATAAGGTCATTCAAGAAGAGAGAATGTAAACATTATATTTACCATTGTAGTAGTAGGAGCAAATAAACCCACAAATTGTTCTGGTAATGCCCTTTCTTTCATTATCATATATGACTTGAAAGCAGCCATCATTTGAATGTGAGAATTCAACAATTTATTGTAGTTCTCCTGGCAATTGGATGGACATGAAACACTCGAAGCATTCATACCGCTGAATCGAGGTCTTGCTTGTTTAAAAACTCTAGTGGGAACAACTCCTAATCCCAAACACCTTACCGTTCCAGAGTGCTCTTTTCCTAGAACTTTTCCAACTGCATCATCTGGCGATATTATAGACTCATCCACAGTGCTTTGACTCAAAGTTTGCTGAATTTTTTCCTGAGTATACACACAGAACACTTTATCAAAATTTTAAAAAGTAATTGAGAACAAAGATGTATACCTAAATATAATCAAAGTGCATTTACATATTCCTGAGTTAGGAATTCCTTTACTCCTGAGTTTAGCATTCATAAAATACATTTTCCTGGGTTAGGCATTCACATTTTAAGCAAAGTAGATGAATATATTCAATCCAAGTGAGACATAAGTAGTGAGACATAATTTTAAATCATTTACTCAAGCAAGGATTTTAGATCACTGCAAAATGACAGCACACTATACTAAACAAGGCACCATCAAACTGATTTGAACAATAGCAATGACGAAAATATTAACAGAGAATCTCAGGTTTAAAATAAATAAAAGACTAAACATAAACTGCTTGACATAACTTGTTAATAAAATAGGGACAGACTTGACACAACCAACGAACTGGAGTGCTATTATTTCCCCCATTAACTAACTTACACAGATAACTTTTGACGCTTCATTTACATATGCTCCATCTACATTCTTATGAGTAGCAAGATAAAGTTCTGCTCGTCCAGGCATTTGACCGGTCTCAGCCATCTATAAGCAAAACAATCAACTTAGAATAACTTGACTAATTAAAAATAATTACACAATAAGTCATCTTAATAACTAAATAAAATGAAAAGAACTAAAATCTTTAACCATTTCAGCCCTTCTTCTAGAGTTAGCTTTGGATCCACCTGTGTGTGGAATGATTTGTTTCTTTCGACTTTCAGCATTTCTGTTGCACATTTCCTAATAAAAAAGATACACGAAATTCAATCATTAAAAAGTAATTATATGACTACACATACTAGTTAAAACAATTAAATATATATACCTGTGTTTCTTTTTATAATGATAATTAACATAAGAAGTCCACTAATCTCTTGGAATTCCATGTGGAACATTATCCATAATCTGAGTTTTGCTTTTTAGTGGATCACTGAACACTTTCCTTATGTCCAACCTATTTGCACTCTACTTCTTTGAAATACAATTATAAACATATTGTCGAGCAGCTAAGTTGGTTGTCTCGAAAAAAAATCGAGGCTTCAATAGTAAACACTAGTTAGCTTACCGTTTAAATTTAAATATAAAGATTCAAGAAAAAAATATAAGTATAGTATTAAGAATATAGAGTTTATACCACTATGATTTGATCAAAGACGCTATCGAAGTATGACATAGGCATATTTGGCCATTTGTCAAAGTGCATTGGAAATAAGGACGAATCAGCAGCTAAAAAATCCACAAAAACTAGAAAGAAGGGGTTGTGCTTCTCCAAATGGACAATCCAGGTAGTCAAAATTAACCACAATACGATCTTCTCCAGATAAATTTAGTACTTCTTTAACTTTCACTTTGACTTTTTTTTTTGTTTCCTTCTGAATCTGGAATAGTGAAAATGAAATGAAATGAAAACATGTTCAATTTTCCAACCAATCATGTTCTAGAGTGGGTTGTAGTACTTGTTTATGTTTTTAATTGTTTCCCTCTATTGTTCCACAGTGGTTTGTTGCCTTTTATTATTCTTTATGTTGAATGTCTTGAATCGGACCCGTTATTCTTTATTATTCTGTATGTTGGGCCCAAGCCTGTTAGGGCGTAGCTTAGCACTATATATATATATAGACGCTATGGCAAACCCTATATATTTTGTAATTCTGTTTTTTGCCTCTCCATAATAAAACTGCTCCCTCTCTTCCCGTGGACGTAGCCAATTTATTGGTGAACCACGTAAATCTATTGTCTTGTTTTTCGCGTTTATATTTTCTCGTATTATCTCAAATTCCGCACAACACTTTATTATGTGACGTATTCTTTACTGGAAATACAAAAAAGGTGACAAAATGGAGGGGTCAAATAATATAACCAGAGAGGTCACATGTAACCCCATTCCAATTGCACCATCATGTCAATTTATTTGATAAAGTAGAATCATACTGTAAGCTGCCCTTCAACTGCAGCAATAATGACTTTTGATCATCAAGACATTGAGGGGAAACCAAGAAACTTGTATTTTTTTCACTTTGTGGTTGAAATGAAGGGGTTAGGTAGAAAAGAAGATGAAAAGTGAGGGGGAAAATAGGACAAGCCCCTCTAACAAGAAGAAGAAAAACAAGACAAATGGAGAAGAAAAAAAAAGATGAAAAAGAAAGCAGAAGTGTAAGGTTTACCTATTGCTTCTATGGTCCAATACTCCGTAGACTCGCGTCCAACAACACGCTTCTTAAATAATTTCGGTTGTGATTCAGCCTGACTTGATGAAGCCAAATGTGATACAACCTGATTTGTGAAAATAGACTGTGATGCAGCATGAGTTGACTGAACCGGCTGTGATGTATCCTGAATTGAGGAAGTTATCTGTCTTTTCGCTTGAATTGATGAAATCGATTGTGATGTGGTTGGTTGTACGTTGGGCTGAACTGACAATGTAGGTTGTGTTTGAATTGAGTTTTGCAAGTTCTGACCGCGCTTGGTCTTTGTCATTTCTACAATAAATCAAAGATAAGATAAATAAGAAATTCTTAAAAAAATAATGTAATCAGAAATTCTTATAAAAATACTGTAATCAGAAATTTGTATCCAGATCCACACACACATGAAAAGTTCAAATCTTAATAAAAGAGGTATGTGATTAGCATATACAAATAGTTTTTCCTTTACACCATAACTAAAAAGCATGCTATGTGTGTTCAAACATATGCTCCTCTATTGAGATTTGGACATTTCCATAATCAACATCGAAAAAATTTTCAAATTCTTGTTGTTGGTAGGGCACTCTCAAATATCTCTTCTTCATCAACTTGTCCCATGTCAAACACATCTCTTGGTTGTAAATGTATAGCTACACTCCATTCTTTATCTGTTTCATCATCAACATAGTAAACCATATTTGCTTGTGATGCTTCAATATAAGGATCATCATCCTCACGATCACCGGTGTGAATCAATTTAGAAAAATTGACACAATTAAAGTTCCAAACATCTCTTTTAAACACTCTATCTCGAGTAGTGTCAGGCCACTTGCATTTGAAAAGCACAACCCTGAACTTTCCATAATAGTTAAGCTCAATAATATCTTCCAACTTCCCATAGTATGGAAAATCTTCTTGTCTTGCATTTCTATCAGCACTAGATGCAACGCAAGAAGTGTCAGACATAAGAAAAACTCCACTATTTTGAGTTTTCAATCATTGTTCTCTTGACAAAGTTTGAAATTTGAACCCATTAATGTTATAAGCAGTGAATCTACTTGCATATGGCGCTGGACCTTGTGTTAAAAACTTTATATCATCAGAGATTGTGTCTTCTATATCTGGATTCATTATCTAAATAAGAAAAATATTTTCGTCAGATATTCTAAATTGAATTAGAAATCCTATGCAAAACTATCATCTAATTTCAATCACTCACCCGCTTAGGAAACCAATCAGTAAACTCTCTATTAATTCTCTTTTCTACCTCTGTTACAGAAGGTTTTCTGCCTCTTGAACTCCTTTTAATGTGTTGCCTAAATTCACTACAAATAAAATCAATGAACAACCATTTTATTAATATTTTTTAATAGATCAAGATTATTTAAATTACTTACTCAATAAATGGATTTGTTGAAGCGCAATTAAGTAATACACATCGATGAGCTTGAGCTTTCTCCAAATGAGTCAAAGGAAATGTCATGAAGCCTTCGACAACTTTACCTTGTCGAGGGAACATAGATGACCTTTCAGGAACCTCGTCATGATTTGTTTCATCATTTACTCATTTAGGCCTATTTACCCTCGATTTGATATCCTCAAAATAACGAGAATAAAGAGTTAGGGCTTCTTCAATTTTTTGACCTTCAGCTATACATCCTTCTGCTTGTGATTTGTTCCCTATAAGTGACTTGAAATGACCTAACAATCTACCATTAAAATTACATAGTATTAGAACAAGCATTTACTTTGAGACAAAAGTTTTTAAAAATAAGATATTTTACCTTTCAACAAAATACATCCATCAATAATGTACTGGACCACCTTGTATTACTTCGTCCACTAAATGGACAGTTAAATGAACCATTACAGTAAAAAACGAGGGAAGGAACAACATCTCTAGGTGGCAAAGAGTGATAACAATCCGTTTTTGTAGTTTTTCAAGGTCCATGAGGCTCAAGTTTTTCAGACAAATGTGTCTAAAAAGGGAACAGAACTCTACCAAAATTGCTACAACTTGATTTGAAAGCACATTGCGAATTGCTATCAGCAGTAATTGTTCCATAATTATGTGACAATCATTACTTTTTAATCCAAAGATCCTCTTTGATTCTAGATGTATACAACGAGATTTATTACTTGAATAACCATCGGGCAATTAAGATATTCTTTGAAGTTGTAAGGAAGGTCACTTTCTTATCCTTTGGAATTGTAAATGCACCAAGTCGAAAATCACCATTCTCATCTGCCCAAAGGTCTTCCCTTATACCCATATCTTGTAGATCTTTTCGAGCTTCAATGTGATCCTTTGACTTTTCTCTATCATTTTTTTCGAGCTTGCAAATCAAATGATCAAATACTACCTCTCTAGTCTGCCATTTTCCAAAACAACATTGAGGACACGGGCATTTTATTCTATCTTCTATAGCTCCATTTTTAAAAGCAAATTCCAAAAACTGATTCAAACCAACCAGATATTCCTTTGTGGTCCTTGGCATTCTAATCCAAGATTTATCCATCGAAAAAATAAAATTAGCAGACAATATCACCTATAAGATTTTCATGAGAAAATAATAAGGTTAGAGTGATATTTAACAATTTTATGTACCAGCTAATGCAGAAATGGAGTATATGTAGAAATGGTCATAATGTTTTCTTTTTGCATGCCAAAATTGTAACATAATGAACATAGGAAGTGGATGTGGATTTACAGAACAACAATCTGAGAGAATGTCTATTTTTTCTCTATTTAGTACTATTGTAGTAAGCGCACCTAAATTATTTACAGGCTTGTACTTGATATTCAATTACTTTGTGTATGTACTAACTTATTCGGCAGAAACTCATTGATTTATTTTGTAAGTAAAATAAAACAGATAGCTGAGATTGAGAAAGATCAACATACACATCAACAAATGAACTTGATACTAGGAAGTTCATCAAGCTATCATCAAAGAGTACCAACATATATCAAAAGGGGGTCAGAGTACCTCAACTTTCTTTATCCTTAAACAAACAAGATCTAGCAGCTCTCCAGTTCCAACTCCAGTTCAAGATAAAGCAAATATTGAAAGGGAGGTCAGACCTGATAAATTAAACAAAACAAAAATTTTCTATAAGATTATGCAAAAGGAATATCTAAATAACAGTCATGATATCACAACATTTGCTTATATAGAATGACTAACTTAAGTTATGAATCTATCTATGAAAACTCAAGTTATGAACTAGCCAGATCACTAGAAATCATGTCACTCAAGTCAGTATTCATCAAAAAATGGTAAAATATGTTCCTGAATCCTCTTACTCTCTAGTTTAATCAGTTAGTTCCTCTGTCTCGGATATGACCATGGTTAGTGAAACAGAGTAATTTGTCATATTATAGCAAGTATTTAGGAGTCTTATCCAAATTGTTGATGAACATACAAACATTATGTGATGAAAACAAAAATACAGATAGTACTAACATCACAAAGTCTAATTCAAGTTTATCATATGTCAATCAAGATCAATGAAGAACTGATTCAATCTTAGATCAAATCTTCATTAATAAAAAGTCTGTTTAAGGTTTTGATTATTTATTAGTAATTTGTTGAAAAGAATTTCTACTTATTTATATAATTGAAAAGATGATTGCTAGAAATTCAGGTCTTCATGTTTAGCGACCAGTTGAAACAAGTCTGTTCTTCTCACCTAAATATTTACGGAAAGATACAAACTTGTATTCACCACTCCAATCTAGATAACTACTGATTATAGAAAAAAATGGCGTGATCGTCAAGGAAAGTACAATATAATATGTGATATGTCCATTCCAGTACAGCCAAATCACAATTAGGAGTAATCTATTTGACTGCTAAACTCAATAGTTGTATGCTTTGTTAAAAGAAAACTTCCTTGCATTGAGCAGAATATTGGCATACTGTCTGACCAGAAATACTAGATAAACCAGTTTGATCATCGCAATATCGACACAAATAACGTTTCAAAACAACACCTAACTCGAAAATAGGAACAAAAACCATGAAGTCTACTGTAGGAACATCACTTTTGGTTTTGCTAGTTTTTGCCACTCTTACGTACTGCTTTGATGCAAGACTATAGGCTTGCCAGCCGAGTGGCAAAATCAGAGGCATAAAGCCACCTCCAGGACAATGTAACACCGAAAACGACTCAGATTGTTGCAAAAAAGGCAAGATGTACACCACTTACAAATGTTCACCTCCAGTGACTGGTAATACCAAAGTTGTTTTAACCTTGAATAGCTTCCAAAAGGGTGGAGATGGCGGTCCACTCCAGTCCATTTCTTAGATTTTTTTCTGAGTCAGAATGTTCAAAACATCATGACACCTATTTTATTGTTGATTCCTCCTCTTTTGATGGTATTATGTGCCTACAATTTTAAAGTTTTACTATAGAAAGTCGTACACTTTTTAATATCGAGGAAAAGTAAATTCATATTTGATTGCATTTCTACTGTGTTTCAAGTGGGTCGATACATGTTTTAAGAAGACGATTTATCCGTAGTTGTCTTCATATCAAACCTATTTTCCATCTTCATCATTTTTTGATACTTACACCCATTTGCTCAAGATCACAGGATGACAGTTGTAGATGAGTGTGATTCTACCATGGGATGTGATGACGAACACGATTATCAGCCTCCATGCCCCAATAACATTGTTGATGCCTCTAAAGAAGTGTGGGAAGCCCTGGGTATACCTAAAGGTGATTGGGGTGATTATGACATTACATGGTCTGATTCTTAGTGCATCATATATAGTACTTAAGTTATCTGTTTGCATATGATGGTTGTCTTTGTACTCAGATTATGTCATCTAGTTTCTCATGTAATTTGTTGTTGTAAAATTACAGTATAATTAATGAAATTCTGTTCATGACTACTTTTGAACTGATCATAATATGAAATTCATGCCAATGAAAGAGAAGAGACATTCTCTCTATCACTTAAAGCTAAAACAGGACTTGGTTGTGTAGCTAAACTAACCTACTACAGTTAATAAAAAAACATTTGCTGATTTAAAGTTAAAAATAAGGTGGAATTCATCAGTCCCAAATGCAGTATATTTTAACTCTACGAGTTGGTCTGAGTCAGAATTTGCTTTTGCATTTGTTTGTGTTAATTGTAATCATTGATTTTGATATCAAGAATGAATATAAGCTCATTGAACAATATAATGTACTCAGATTATGTCATCTAGTTTCTCATGTAATTTGTTGTTGTAAAATTACAGTATAATTAAGGAAAAAAGATCCACCACACAACGGGAGCTAGCAAACAGGAGAGTACAGACTGTTGCAAACTAAGAGATGATACCGCAAAATGCAGAAGATGTGAACATGTGGACTACATGACTTCCTGTAAAAATCTTCTACCACAAAATATATGTGGACCAAAGGACTAAAGGACTTCCTGTAAAGACCTATTAGAACATGTGGACTATAGCCTATAAGAATATAATATACGAACAAGTATACAGAGATAAGTGAAATCGAGGGCATATGTAGCAGCTAAACAAAGAGAAACTATATACACCTATGCATAAACAAGGATTGACAGAGAAGACAAAATTTACAAAGAAACAAGCCACCTGTTGAGCAACACGATTGAGACTAAGAATCTGTAGACACAAAATGCCTCGAAAAGTTTGTAATTATCGCCAAAATTATAACAAAATAAACCTAATTCTACCACAAAATACATATTCAAATTTAATATTTTGAATTTTCCTCCAAGACTAATACAACAATATTAACCTAATTTTACCTCCATGCATCTATACAAACAGCAAAAAAACAAGCTTACATAGTAAATACAAGCAATAATTTGTACAATTTGTGAAGATTCAGATTATAAAATCCAAAAATATGAGGCTGAAGTTTATAGAGCTGTGATAAGTGGAAAACATTACCTTACAACACCTATCCCATTTTGAATCTCGTGAGTAGCTGAAGTTTATAGAGCTGTGAGGAGACGGCGGAGGAGTGCGATAGAGACGACGGAGAAGTACCGCTGTAGACGTCGGAGAAGTGCTGTATCGACAGTGAGAGAAGTGTGACAGTGAGAGATAATTTGGAAGTTTCCTAAAGTTGTGTTTATTTTGTGTTTTGCAATTAAAGTAAACATAACTTTTTATTAAATTACCTATTTCCAAAAGTTGTGAGTATTTGTATTTCATAAATAAAAGATATATACCTTATATAATGAAATAAAAAATATATTCTGAAATAGCAGGTGTTTAAACTCCCGGTATTTACTTAAATTTTTCTCTAGGGGTTTTAAATCCTGCTATTTATTTTTATTTTCCGTCAGCTATCAAACCCCCGTTATTTATTGTAATATGTGGGAGTTGTAGTTAACCTCCTCTTTGAAACCCCCACGATTTAGGTATTTTTTTTGTAGTGAATAATCAAGTGTTTATATGTAAAATTTGTAGAAGAATATACTTGTGGTGGGATTCTTCTATATCTATGTCAATCAACTTACTTTTTGTTATAATAGAATTGAGTTTATTGATAAACTAGTTATTTAGATCAAACAATTGATAGTCCAAATTATTTTATCTCACAACTACTATAAGATTGATTAAGGATCATAGTAGTGTGGTTGATTTAGGGCAATCCGTCTTTGAAATTTTTCATTAGTAAATTTTTTAAATCTACTAAAAATGATTGAGATAATTAGGTTTTGAAGCTAGTGGATTAGATTGATACTTATATATATAGTTATTGATAAAATATTCATATTCTTTATTGAAATACTATTTTAGGTGAACAAAAATCTATGACTTTTGAATTGACAAAACCAGAAATCTCCCAAATGGGAAATCATATTACAATGATCTGAAGACTTATTTTCTTTCAATTAGTGTACTTCTATTTTTTTTGCTTTAGAAATTATATACAATACATCCCTTTTTTCCTCTTGAAATCAAGCGGGCAATAAAAAATATAATTAGTTATTTAATATATATTCTAAATGTAATCCACATTCTAAATATAATTAGTCACTTGCTGCTTTATCCGAAATACTTTATCCTCAGCTCTTTTCCATCAACTTATTTTTATACTAGGCAGCTTAGAGAATCACCATTATTATTTAACTCAATGTAAAACAAGTTTGTTGGGTCAAAATTAGGAAAATATACATACTAATACTTATAGGTTACCATCTTTTATCATTTTTTTTAAGTAATAGCAAACCTAAGGTATTTACACTGTCAGAATCATTGTAATCTATTGTATTATATTATATCGTTGCTATATTTACTATAATGTTTATTTTGATTGTTTCTTAAAATGTGTTGTATTATATTATTAAATTTATTTGTTACGTAATAATGAAAATTCATTTTTTATGGAGCAACAGATTTGGTGTATTCTCATTTTTACTTCATTTATTTTTCCAATCGTATATTTACATAATATTTCAAAATAATATTTTACCCATTACCTTATATTATTTAATTCTAATCAAATCTCATACCCTAGAATAACTAATGATATTTTAATATATTTATAAATTACAATATAATACGATACAATCAAATCAAACAATTAAAATATTATTAAACAATAATAAACAATACACTTTAGCCAATTATTGTATATACCATACAATACAGTATAATAGAGTACAATAAAATATAATACATTTTAATTGTTTGGTTTTCTCACCTTGTTTCTTCTTGGGTGTATGGACCATAGAGGGCAACAGCCCGAGGGGAAAACAAGAGCGCAAATATAAAAGTCTATTTCTTTTTTATCGTCATCAATTATTTTATCGTCAAATTTAGACAATATAATTTTCTCGCTTTTCTCTTTTTGGTATGTTATGAGCAAATTTGGTGCTTGAATTTGGGTTTAATTTTTATAATAGATTGAGTGATCAATCGACTTTCCATACTATACGTTTAATTGCATAGAATTAGTATCAATATGAAATTCCTTATTCCAATCCAAAAATTTAAAGATTGGAGTTGACGAAAAACACCAATTAGCATGCTTAAAAGGTTTAATGAGGTTTCGATTTTAAAATTATTAAATATTTCTTTTACAAATGATTTCCTTATAGGATTGAACGATTCGAATTATTTTTTTCTATTGTGTTTATAATAATATCTATCTTAAAAATATATATTTTAAAAGTTGCTTATTTAACATGATATTAGAATGAAAAAGCTTTCTTTCTCTAACACTTACCATAGATACATAACGTTTTTGATATTTTATGATTAATTTTGTATCTGAAAAATAAGATCGGCTGTGAGAGAAAAAATTGATTCATGACCTAAGTAAGTATAAAATGTCTATGCAAATGCGTCAACCTCATTACTTAACTAAATAACTACAATTAACCACGCAACATGTCTAACCATTTCTGTCAAAATAAATACCATTTTGAATCTATGCCCACCAATTTCTACAATACTGAACTAAGTTACTCCATTTTCAACATTATTACATTATGAATGTTACATCGTTGTGCTTAATTACAATTGTTATTTTATCAATAATTTTCGACATGAACACGAAAACACATTATATATATATATATATATATATATATAAAACCTACTTTTTAAAAAAAAAAATCCAAACAATTGTAATCTAATAACACAAGTCAATAGCAGTAGGAATGTTTTCTTTAGTTAGTACTATTATATAATTATTACTTAAGTAACAATGTTTTTCTTTAAAAAAAAAAATAACATAGGTACTAAACTATTTTAAATAAATAAAAATTATTTAGTAATGTTTAATAAGGTTTGGCATACAGAAGAACAGACCCTCTTTCTTCTCTCTGTCTGTCTGTCCTACATTTGGTAGCCCCAATTCTCTTCAACTAGGGTTTCTGCTTCTCCTCAGCATTTCCATTTCTCTGCTTGCGATCTTCATCTCTGTGAAGATTTCACAACTGGGTCAGTCGAAATTCTTGAAAACAACAAAAGATAAGCAAAAAAATTGAATCTTGATTCTTGATGGCAAAGACTAAACCAGGGAAAAAGGACCTTGATTCTTACTCTATCAAGGGTACCAACAAAGTCGTACGAGGTAATAAAACCCTTCTGGATTTTATCTTTATGTTTTCTGATGCTTTGTTGTGTGTACGTTTGAGGCAAATGTTTCATCTTTTTTGTGCCCTAGAAGTTTCTGTTTTTGGGGTTATCTAGAAAGTATCGCCTTTTCAAAGCATCAGCTGATTGCCCCCTTTGTTTAACTGGAAAAAGAGTTTAACAACTTGTCTATTAGCTTGATAGATAAAAACATATAATATAAAGAGTTAAACTTTGTAATGATCCCTTATTTACGAGCGATTGAAGGCAAGGATTATGCCGTTGATATTCAACTCGAGTGCAGTTTAATGGCGATATTCAACAACAAAAACAACTCTACCTCAATCCCAAGCTAGTTGGCATAAGTCATATGAATCCTCGCTAATCATGTTGCTCCATTTTATGCCTATGGAAAGAAGGAAATGGGACACAAAGTGGAAAACTCATTTTATGGTGACGGTATCTCCTTCTCATTGTCTTTGTAGACTGGCTCCTTTGTTCAACTGGAAAGGGAGCTTAAGATGTTAATAAAGGATTAAACTTTGTAATGATCCCTTATATTCAAACAATTTAAGACGAGGATTATTACAGTGTTATTCAACTCAAGTGCAGTTTAATGAATCTCTAAGGAAATGAGTTAGTCCGCAACAACAAAAACAAATCCTCCTTGCTAATCATGTTATTCCATTTTAGACCCATAGCAATAAGGAAATGAAACACAAAGTGGACAACTTGGAAACTAAACTAAATTGACATCGACATTGACATCGACATGGCAAATCACTCTGCAGTTTTAATGAACTCCAGCGGTGATTTGGATTTAAGCTTCAGCAGCAGCCGAAGATGATTTCACAGGGAAGAGATTGATAGAGAAGGAGGAGGAAGTAGGAAATGCGGATAGATTCGGAAGAAACATAGAAGAGAGTAATAGTTCTCTTTCCTGATTGAGACATGACACCCTACCTTGATGTTCTTTATGTTTGTATTGTTAGCAAAGAGTCGTTGCTGATCATATGGCTCCTAACATACCCATTTGCCCTCTTAAGTAGATCATTAAAATTGAATAGATAAATGAATTTGAACTCTTAATTTTACCATTTTCAGGAGAAAAAAAAGAGAAGGAATTTGAATTCTAAAAAAATTGTGGAAGTCTCTAAAGAACAATTTTATTAGTGTACAACATCTCGGAATGTCTCAATATAGAAATAATGCTGAATAAATTTGAATTTAGGAGTATCTTTTGTAATGGATTCCTGTGTAGTTGATTCTATTGTCTTCATAACTTATTCAATTTTGCTTTAGTTTGCTCTATACCCTGACAATGTTGTGGACATTCGGTTATCTTTAAAAAGCATTAACATTTCTGTTATTGTTCCTTTCTCAGTTGGTGATTGTGTATTGATGAGACCATCCGATTCGGATAAGCCCCCATACGTGGCAAAAGTAGATAAAATTGAGGCAGACCATCGCAACAATGTGAAGGTCCGAGTTCAGTGGTACTACCGCCCTGAGGAGTCAGTTGGTGGACGCAGACAGTTCCATGGGGCTAAAGAGCTGTTCTTGTCCGATCACTATGATTTTCAGAGTGCACACACAATCGAAGGGAAGTGCATAGTGCACTCCTTCAAGAACTACACAAAGCTGGAGAATGTGGGCCCTGAGGATTACTTTTGTAGGTTCGACTACAAAGCTGCCACAGGAGGGTTTACTCCTGATCGTGTTGCTGTGTGAGTTCTTCATAGATGCACTATAAAATTTGATAAATTTATTTTCTTGGTGTAATGTTAAAGACGTCCTTCTGTACTATTCGTTAACATGCTGATATTGAATGATTTGATTTTGAAGGTATTGCAAGTGTGAAATGCCCTACAACCCAGATGATCTCATGGTTCAATGTGAAGGGTGTAAAGACTGGTACGCATGTTACTGAATACTTTCCTTTACATATTAGCATATCTTTATTCTTGTTTGCACGGAAACCAACAAGCAAGCTTGCATTTTGTACTCGAAAATTTAGGTTAAACAGTAAATTGAGAGAGAAGGATGTGTCTTATTAAGTTTCTGTAACTTCATCTATTAAACAGTTGTAAAGACAGATAAATGGCCACATGACCAACATCCAAGGACACAAAACATGAAAATGCAATAAGAGATTGCCACATTCCCCTTCCTCTCTATTATCTCCAGATGTACAATTGTCATTTCTGAGATATTTTTGGAGTTATCACATCATTGTTGTCCACTATCCACATTATGTTGCTCTAACAACTAGGGAAGAGCTGCTCTGCAGTTACTTATTTTCTATGTTTTCAGCCTATTTTTTTATTTATTTAAATTGTGTTACACAAATAAAAAGGCTATTGGAAATTTGCTAAGTTCTAAGTTATCATTCTCAAAAAAAAAAAAATTTTTGCTAAGTTCTTCAAATTCCTGCCTGAAGTCTAACGAATACTCTGACAAGAACTGGAAACTCTTTATGGGTTAAAGTTAAAGGCAAGATGCCCCTAGATGTTTATACTGAGAGAATGGGTCTAATAGATGAATATATTGCCAATTGTCTGAGAATGATTGGTCTATCAGATTGTACTGGATCTATAGATGACTAAGTTCCTTTAAGGGCATTTATGCGAGAGAAATGATGAATATGATCAATCATCTGAGTCAGTTGGGTGTGACGTTGATCAACAAAATAGGAAAAAGTTTGAGACAGGAAATGATATTCTAAATAACCTTCTCATAAAACAATTCTTGTGAAGTTGGAAAATATACACTCCCTGTATTGGCTTGTACTTGTCCACTATGACTGAAAGTAAACATTTAAACCTTTACTTGTCACTTTTAGCATATCAAGGGAAAGTACTCTCTTCCGTGTTTTACCTTCTACATCGATTACTTTTTCCCAAAATCATTTTTCAAGACCTAAGACTAAACATCAATTAAGAGGTCTGCAAAGTCCAATCTGGACAAGTAAAAGTAAGCGAAGGAATAATTAAAAAGGATGTGTGAATTTTCCACATTTGGTTGAGCTCATAGGAACATAAGAGGGAGGAGAAGACAACATTACTGTGGAGTGGAGGTGTGACAATTCTTTAGGCTGTAATTGCCTCTACTTGTGTTGAGTGAAATTCTAGTTGTGTTGTTCAACATCATGGATCTGAGGGAGGCCTGAGTTGGTCATTAAGTTCTATTAAACTTAAGCTAATTGTCTGTGTTATGTTTGTTTGGTAACTATGTTTTTAAGAACTTCTTCAATGGTATCCATTCTTGTAAGATGGTCTTATTTTTTGTATGCAATTTTACTGCAGGTTCCATCCTATCTGTATGGGTATGACTATTGATGAAGCAAAGAAATTAGACCCTTTCTTGTGTTCTGACTGTTCATCAGAAGATGATGCTAAACGACCCTTGAACTCTTTCCATGTTGAGCCAAAGGTAAGAATCTGTTGCATACACTTGATAGTCTGAGATGTTCCAGTATTTTTTATTCTTTTTTGAAATTGGTAATTGCATTCATCAGCATTAAGGATATGCTGGCCACCTCCAAAAGTGAGCAATTACAAGCGTGCTATCAACTCTACAATCTGATCTATACAAAGTAGTTTACACCAAAGAAGTAGAGTTTCAATACAATTCCATTTTATTTTATGTATGGAATTGGACCTATCTTTAAAGCATCTCCCATTTCTTTCCTTCCATATTGACCACCATATACATGATGGTATTAATCTCTCTTTTGACTTTTACTTCCTCCCCTCCTATTCCAGCAACTCAAAAGATCCGATGTGTGCTCTGGCATTGTCCAGCTAGTGCTTGTTTTGTTGAGGAAAAGGTTCCATAGCTGAGTGGTGAACTTACAATGTAAAAATAGATGCTTATTGGTTTCCCCTGTTCTGTTGCAAAGAAAAAACCTGGGAACTAGTTGTCTAACTTACTTTTGTAAGATTTCTTGTGTAAGACTAGCTCTCCTAATCACTAACCAAGTAAAACCTTTCACTTTGGCGGGCATGACACTCTTCCAGAAGTACTTCCAAGGATATTGTGTTCCCCTAGTCATCTCATGTAGTCCGCTGTTATATGCACTTTTGACTCTGAGAACCCCATCCGTGCTGAGTTTCCATAAGACCCTGTCTGTAGCTGTTGGGGAATGGAAATTTCACCTAATGTTCCTAGCAGAGCTGCCACCCTCTCTATTTCCCAATCAGTAAGCATTGGATATATTCCATCCCTGCTCTGTCCAATCAGGATTCTCACAAATGAGGAACAGATCTGGGAAAAGATCCTTGAGAGAGGTTTGATTAACCCATCCATCCTTCCAAAATTTTGTTTTGTTTCCATTCCCCACTTTGAGATATAAATTTGCTTCCATTCTGCCCAAAGATTTCTAGATATCTGATTGTTCTCCACACACCCACACCATAAGGTTCAGAAACATTCTCTGTACACCAGGGCTTTATTTCACCGTACTTCGCTACTATAACCTCCTTCCATAGAGCTCTTTCCTCACCTGCGTATCTCCATAGCCACTTCATCAGTAGAGTCTCATTTTGCAACCTCAAATTTCTGATTCCCAGCCCAACTCTTTCTTTGCTGGGAAGTACAGTCTTCCAGTTTACTAGACAATAACCTTTCCCTTCTTTATTTCCATGCCACAGAAAGTTCCTCCTTAGCCTGTCTAACTTTTCCACAACTTTTGCTGGAATTGGAAATAAAGACATCACATAGGTGGGTAAGGAATCTAGAACAGAATTTATCAAGACCAGTCTTCCACCTAAAGGTAAATACTAAGCTTTCCACCTAGTTAATTTCCTTTCAGTCTTTTCCAGGATACCCATCCCAGATGTCCAGTGCCTTGTGATTGCTACCCAGAGGCATGCCCAAGTAAGTGGTAGGCATTTGATCAACTCTACATCCCAAAATATTTGCCAAGTTTTGAATCTGCTGGACTTCATTAACAGGGAACAAACTGCCTTTTCCCCAATCTACTCTCAACCCTGATACAGCTTCAAACAAAACCAGAATCACTCTAATGTAACTAATTTGTTCAGCTACTGGCTCACAGAATATGAGGGTGTCATCTGCATATGGCAAATGACAGATTTTCTTCTCCTCCCCCACTTCCTGCTACTTGGAATCCTCTAATCCACCTGTTTTGTTATGCAATCTTCATCATGCTATCAAAACCTTCCATTGCTAGAATGAAAAGGAAAGGTGAAAGTGGATCACACTGTCTCAACCCTCTTTCTGATGTAAAAATCCCACAGGTTCTCCATTTACTAGAACATAGAGCCTGACTTTTTGATACAAAATTCAATCCACTTCACCCATTTACCACCAAAGGCATTGTCTACAAGTCAGTTAATGTCGTTATTATCAAAATCAGATTTAATTAATGGCCTTTATCTGTCTGTGATAGAGATGTGATGGTAATGTTTGCTTTCATATTCTGTTCTTGTATGTAGCTGGTCGTTAGTTTATTTACGTCAAAAGGAAGTGGAGGATTGCATGTTCAGTCACTTGATTTGTGATAGTATGTCAGGCTCCTCACTTTAAAGGAAGGAGAAGGCTAGGACTGAGAATAGGATCTACTTAGGTCATGATACCTAATGTATGAGACTAATGATCAAGATCAATGACTAATAGTCTAATACCATCAAAGTTGATATTTAGTCATTGGATTGCATTTTGATAGTTTGTCTCATCACCATAGTTGAAAGGAATTCCATAGTTTTATCATGTATGGATAAGAAGGAAAATGAATGTAAGGAATGAGGGTGTTCATGGTTTGGTTTGGCATAGTTTTTATCTAAACCAAAACCAAATCAACTATGTGGATTTATTATAATGTATACCTAATTAGTTGTTTTTTGTTTTGGTTTTGTTGGTGTTTTTGCACTCTCTTTTTCTTACGAAATTTATTTTATTCAATCTACCGGATGGAAGGACACAATATCTTATATGCAGGTATATGTTTAACAAGAATCAAATAAATTGATTGAGTTATCATCCTTTGGAAGATTTATATTGATATTGATAAATTGCACTATGAGATAAACAACTATTCACTTTCATAAATTAAAAAAGAACTTGCATCACTATGTGAGAGGTTGGCTGTAACGGGCGTGAGGAGGGTGAGGTGATTAGGCATGATATGACACAACTTGAGCTCACTAAGGACATGAAAGCTTGATAGGAGGGTCTGGAGGTTGATAATAAGGGTTGAAGGTTAGGATGCAGTCGGGCGTATTTTGTTTCCTTTCCGAGCGTATTAGTATTTTTATTATTGTTTCCTTTTTCTTTTGATTTCTACCACTACTTGTTTCTTTTGTCTTAATATCTTCGGATCTTCCTGTTGTTGTTTTTGCTTGTTGCTACTGCCTTTTTGTCCACTATTCGTTCAGTCAGCAGTTGAGGATGTATTTGAAACCACCTCTCTATGACTCTACGTGCTCAAAGGTAGGAGTAAAGTTTGCGTACGCTTCAACTTTTCTGACTTCACCAATGGGAAAACATTGGTTTGTTTTTAATTCACCTCAAGGTTAAAATCTTTTACAAACATTAACAATACTTCCTCAGTCCCATTTAAGTATCGTAATTTGAGTTATGCCGAACTACAAATTGGATAATAATGCATGAGATGAAGTATCATTTTATGTAAACAAATGGTATAATGAAGATAATAATAAATAATGAAGATAATAGTAACTCTTTGATGAATCTGAACTTCGATAAGAACACTGGATGTGTGTTGTCTTATTGCTGGCTCTGATTGTAGCCTCTTCCCTGCCTATGGTAAGTAGATGTTGGATAACAGATATTAATGGAAAATAAGAGGGTCATTGCTAGGTAATTGGATTTGTCATGCGGGCTGGCTGTTAGATTGGTTTGATAATCTGGCTGAACAAAAACAAGTTGTGATATTTATTCAAATGTGTCTTATTTCTGACACACCGATGAATATTCAGACTCGTAATATGCATGTACATATTTCTGTGTGCTTTGAGCGAGAACTACTTGAAATATAGTCTTTTATGAATCTTAAATTCCAATTTGTCTGTCGCTTGTGAACATTTTAGCTAAGTCATTTCTGATTCAATGGCCTAGGTGGAGTTGAAGCGCAGGAAGAGATAGCAAACTTGACTCTTTGTGAAGTGGGAGGAGGTACGCTTTTTCATATGGAATGGGATTCATGATGCAGAAGTGCTTGTACAGCTGAAGTATGGGGTTACTAGCTTTTTGGTTTCTGTAATGTCATTATGACTTTTCAGAGCAAGCTCATATTTCTAAAGCATCTTCAAACTCCTTTAGAATTTGTATGAACTAAATTAACCAAGGGCCATTGTAGACCTTTGTAGTATATTTGCCTTGTTAACTTATCAACCCAAGTACCTTCAGGAAGGTAACCAAATGTTGAAAAGAAAGTTAAAAAACCAGGATGGTCTATCGATAGCGTGTTTGTCCAAACTTCTAAAATCTGCTTATTTTGGAAATTGTGTTGTTTCAAAACAGTATTTTTGGTGAATTTGCTTATTTTGAAATTGTGTTTTTCAAAATAGTATTTGTGGTGAGAAACCCTCAAATTATAAAGTACTTTGAGTAGCAATTAGTGTTTGCCTAAACTCTTTTAAAATAGTGTATTTTTCTATGAAGTGCTTTTCAAAAACATACTTTTTGGAGAGATTACTTCTCTTAGCTTTTGAAAAATATTTTTCATAGCTTTTCAATTGTTGTGTAGAAAAAGGAAATTAGTGAAATGAGATTTAATAGATTTAGAAATAATATTATTCACTTGTTGGATTACTCTCAATTCCAAGAGGACTTTTTGTACTTCTCGTTATGTTTTCATGACCTCTTTGCTAAATGATTGCAACTTTGAATTTTTTTATTATTGCAAAGAAGTTCACTTATTGTTATTGTGTGTTCTATGTGTGGTTTTCTTTATATTTTTAAAATAATTTGAGTGTGTTTTTTTGCCAAACAATAGTAGACTGACGTGAAAATGATGCACCTTATTGTACTCAATTTCAACAACTTAACATTTTATTTTTTTCATAAAGAAAGACTCCCTTACCCACCCTTCACTCTCCCCACTAAAAGATATAACTATTCTTTATTTAAATAAATGAAGACTTTTTTTTTTATAGATATACCTAACAAATTCTGCTCCAGAAACGATTGTTTTTTTTAAGAAAAAAAAAACTCGCTTTAGGGGCAGCAATTTTACAAATTTAAAAAACACAAAGCCGTTAATGCTGTTAAAAACCAAAACGGATCTTGCTGCTTGAGCAGCGAGTTATCCGTTTTGGTTAAAAGATAAAGTTCGAAAAAGAAAAAAAAGTGACTATTGGCTTCGGATACCAACTTATTGGATCAATTAGTATTCTAAAATGCCATGTCTAAAAAGGGTACAAAATTAGTAAACAAGATATCTATATTACAAAAATAAAATATAAAAATACCAATTACTATTCTAAAGATGAACTACATTGCTACCCTAATGCCATAAACATAACAAAATCACCAATACCCTCAATAGTATGAAACATTTTACATGGAGAACCTATGGTGATTTGGGATGGACATGTAATATGTTGTGGTAGGACAGTTCTCTTATGTTAAAAATATTGCGAAAACTTATTCTTAAGCAATGCATTACATTACATTACATAATAGGTATGTTTTGATAAGAGTTTCACTTGTTAAAGACTATGTAAATCTCTTATTAAAACTAAATTTGCTTTCTATATAACTTCATGAATTTATCGTATCTAATGAGAATCCTAAAAATGTGATCCCCCATTTGATCTTGATGAAGAAACAACAATGATAATAACAAGGTCATCCTATAACTCATCATGTTATTATTAATTGTGTTAGTAACAATGCCTTTATAGAACTGAGATATACATGAAGGACAAGAGGGAGTTGCTCAAATGATAAGCACTCCTCACTTTCAACCCAACGTTCTGAATTAAGTCATCAAGGAAGCAAAAAGGGTAAATGCTCCTAGGGAGGGGTAAAAAAAAGATAAAGGTAAAGTAAATTTACACGATGGAATGCGAAAATTGAGGAGTGTATATTTTAGAAATTTGACAGGGTATTTACTAATGAAGAATTTCTTAATATCTTGCATCTATTTGAATTGAAGTTCATTCTTTCAGTATGGAATTAGACCAATCTCCATTACATGTAGTGTGCAACACAAAGGAGCCTATCATAAAGCCTTTTAACGAACTTTTGGGCAAAACATCATCTTTCATGGATGTTATAAAAGAAAATTGGAAACTAAATCTAAGAAGATAGCGACGAAGGGCTTACCCCGAGACCTAGCATCGTCGAAGGTCAGGCTTAGGGCACGAGTTCTAAAGTGAATCATAGGAAGTAAAATCTTTCACAGATCTAAGACTAGTAAGTCTTAGAGTGCGTTTGGTACGAAAGAAAATATTTTTCAATTTCTTATGTTTGATTGGGTTAAATGTTTTCCAAATTAACTCATTTTTCTCAAATTTAAGGAAAATTACTTCCCTTCAAAACTTAAGAAAACATTTTCCAAAACTCTCTTCCAACCTCCCCTACCCACTCCACCCCCTACCAGCTCCCCCAGTCTACTAGCCCCAACCTAGCCCCCCTCGTTACCCCTAAAAAATTAAGTATTTTTAAAAAAAAATCAACTTCAAAAATTCATTTTTGCACCCCTACCCTTGACTCCTCCCCCCCACCCCCTACCAGCACCAACTCCACCCTATCAGCAAAACAAAAAGATTTCAACTTCAAGAATTATTTTCTACTCTAATAAATAATTAAAAATATTTTTCAAAAATCATACATTAAAATATTTTTTCGAAAAATATTTTCTATTCACCAATTAAACATGAGAAAATAAGTCAAATATTTACTTGTTTTTCAGAGAAACATTTTTCTTCGTACCAAACACACCCTTAGTATCTTTCCAATAAGATAATATCCAAGAGCTGCTATATAAAAGACTTAGATGTCTTTTACCAATTTTGATTTCCACAAATCTAACTGATTTTGTGAAGGGAAGGAGTATCGTAGAAAATGTCTTACTAGCTAAGGAGATAATTAAAACATATCAACATGAGAAATAAATTTCATAATTTTGTGATTAAATTGAACACGGCAAAAGCTTCTGATAGAGTTTTCTGGATTTCTTTTAACAAATGTACTAAGGCATATTAATTTTTTTTAGATTTTTATTTGTTCCAAACATATTTACCAATTGGTTCAGATAGATTTAAGGAAAAATTATCAAACTAATCACAATTCCTAACTTAATTAGTAAAAATATCTACACTTAAAAAATAATTATTGAAAATATCAAAATGTCAATATTTTAGAAAATAATTTGGTTTCAAATTTTATTATTAAAACAGTCCAACTTTGAATCAAATTCTACCTCTATTACCCATTTACACTTTTTTCTTTGCTTTAGTACCTTTAAATTTATTTTTCATCTTTCAATTTTCAATTTTTTTCTCTTTCATCAACTTTTCAATTTTCACCATTCCTATGATTCTTTTTTTTTCTTTCATCAAAATTACACAAATAGTTCAAGACTAATTATTTTAGATGTCTCTGCACATTAATAGTGATGGAGAAAAGACCAATTCAAATTAAATGGATTTAACATAATGTTACGACATGGATCGGGATTAAAATTTTTTCCATTTTCATCCATTAAATAATATTTTAATTTAATCACTTGTTAGAATTATAAGTTCTATTTAATACAATATTATTAGACAGCCACAAAATAGGACATTAGTTATACAGTTGATGCAATTCTTGATTTACTTAACGGAAAAGGGCCTAAAATATTCTTAAAGTATTGAAAATGGTACAAAATTATCCTCCGTCCACTTATTGGCTCCAAAATACCCTTCCCACCCACCTGTTGGCTCAAAAATACACCTGTCATCCACCTTTGGGTTCAAAATTTGACCACTTATTTAACGATTTTAAATTTAAACTATTTAAATATTTTTAAAAATATGTGGCGGTCAACTATTTGTTATAAGTTATTAATATAATTTATAAATCAATCCACAAGCACCTATTACTAGTTAAATCCCTCCAAATTAATAAACTCGTCATATTACTAATGCAACAACAGGAAAGTTACTGCCAATGAGTGTACTTAAAAATCTGAAGCAAAAGTATCTATAAAAGTAAATAATCATACATTCAAGTGTCTAAATAAAGTTACCGATAAACTTAAAAGTTTGACTATGTTCATCTTAATTATTCTTTCGTCTCAATTATGTGATGTTACTTCATAGATAACTTGTTTTTTCAAAATAATATATTAAAGGTTTTAAAAGAAATCATAAATATTTATATAACTATATTAAAGTGCATGAATTAATTCGGGATGTACTACTTTTTTACCTTTAGTCATAAATTTCTAATCAAGCTTGAAAGAGAATCCTATTGAAAGTGTCCTCCTAAATAATCGGCTCAACCTAAATTCAATTGGGGCTTTGATTCTGACTGAATAATTTTTAATGTTATTTTCAGGGATCTATAATTTCGTTATATTTTAGTAATTTTTATATCGGTTTTGATATTAAAATTGATTTATTAATTGAGTGATGTTTGGTTAGGAATGATTGGGTAATGGGTTAGTTTATAAGTTATATTAATAATTAAATTATAACCAATAGTTGAGTGCCAAGTATTTTAAAAAAATATTTAAACAATTTAAATTTAAAACAATTAAATAAGCGATCAATTTTGAACCCAAAGGTGGATGAGAAGGGCATTTGAAACCAATAGATGGATGAAGGACAATTTTATATTATATTCAATACTTCGAGAATATTTTAGGCCCTTTTCCGTTTACTTAATGTTAGTTTACATATTATATCAATTCATGCTCCAATTATCCAACCCTATACAAATAAGGGGAATTAAGTGTACCATCTTAGTTGAAGGATGAGCTATTGTCTCTCCTTATATGATGAACCACAACAGTTTTTATATGATGAGCTATCTTAGCTTCTATAGTCAGTTTAGGCTAATGTTCATTTTAGATACAGCAAAGAAGAAAACAGAATCTATCCCTCTGATCCTTATATGATGAACCACAACAGTTTTTATATGCGCATCTCAAACGATTTCTAAAGGGTATTGAAAACAGGATGCTTCAAGTAAATTAATGCACCCCCCAACACTCGTATATATAAGTTTAGAGATGTAACTAAATTTTCTGGATCACAACTGAATTGGCTAGGTCAGCTTGTTCTATTGTCTGGTCGAGATCAGCAAGTTCCTTCGGAGGAAAACCTACTGTCTGCAGTTGATAGCTCCTGGACCCACCGGGCCTTGATGCATCAATAAACCCTCGGATATCTCTGATACTGTGTTGGAAATTGAACCGTGAAACCATCCGTGTGCCATCTGCTAACCTGACTTGAATTGATGTTGAAGGCTGTGTCTGATCA